CTCTCTCTCTCTCTCTCTCTCTCTCTCTCTCTCTCTCTCTCTCTCTCTCTCCCTTCTTTTCTGGGTATGTTACTCTCTTGTAACACCTCTAATCTTCGGCACTTAAATGACCTTATTTTGTTGCAAGTGCCGTAAAACTCCTTCTAAAGCTAAACTATTATCTGTTGTTGTCGTTGTTTTATTGTTGTTACTCTCATTGGTTGGTGCCGTTCTTGTTGTCATTGGGATTCTTGTTGTACTTGCTGATTCTGTTACTGGTGCCGCTGTTGATGCTGCTGCTGCTGCTGCTGATGCTGCTGCTGCTGCTGCTGTTGTTGTTGTTGTTGTTGTTGTTGTTGTTTTTGTTGTTGTTGTTGTTGTTGTTGTTGTGGACAGGGAGGGTAACAAGATGGTGAGAAAGAACTTTGTGATTAATAAAGTATAACTTAAAGGATAAGGCAGACAAAGAGAAGAAGAGCACAGCTACAGAAAAAAATGAAACAGTTAATGAAGTGAAGAAAAAAGGAAAAGAATGCAGGCAAAGGGGAAAAGAATACGGGGTAAATAGAAGAAGAATACACGTAGAGAGGGAGAAGAATACGCGGAAGGAGGGGAAGGCAAACAAAGTGAAGGTATACTAAATAATTCAAAAAAAGAAAAAGAACAGTACAGGTAAAAGGGTGGAGATAAGGAGAAGGCAGGCAAAGGGAAGATTATAATTGAAGAGTAGAAAGCAAATAAATTGAGAAGGTAGGCAAAAAAAGGAGAATATAGTAGATCTATTTTCAGAATACATGTACATTGAAGTCGTGTAAAAGCACTAAAGTTCGCTTTTGCATTAATTAATTTAGTAAGTATGATCTATTGGACTATCATCCACAATGATTAAAGGGAGAATACCCGCACACTTTTGGTGACTTTAAATATTCTTTGTAGCCTCCCTTTGCCATCATTCCTCCTTTCTAAACTCTGGTTCCTTTCTGTTTTTTGACAATGTACTTGAATGCGTATTAAATCTTTGGGGTTTTCTTCTTTTTTTTTTTTCAAGTGTTTAGCGGAACTCTTAACTGCATAAGGTCATATGAGCTCGTGGGTAGGAATTAATTAGGAATTTTGCCCGAGTGGCATCCGAAACCTACTCTTATCGATTTTCGGATCACCAAGGGATCTTTAGCACTAAACTTCCGAGATTTGTTCGCCCTTATCCGAGAAGGCTAGGTGTTAAATTGTACTTTTCCTGAGATCATAATATATGTGGATGAAAGACAGCAGTAAGAAGGAGGCAAGGAGTAACAGTAGAAAGGCAGCAGAAAAAGTCCGAAGCCCAGAGGAGGGGGAAAAATTGGAGGGGGGCAGGGGAGTGGGTCAGAAAGAGGAAACGAAAGCAGACGACAGAGCATGATTAGAGAGCAGGAAAGGTGCAGAAGAACTTTTAAAAGAAGAACATTTTCCGTCGCTGTCAGGATTCGAACGCAGGATTTATTGAATGTGAGGTGAACGCCGTACCTCTAGGCCACAAGACGTACCTGTTAAATCTATACTAAAGATTTAACACGTGCAAACATTAACAAACCTTGACAAAGTGGCCAGCCTCTTTAAAAACTTAAATGGGGCTGTATTAATTGTTCTACTAACGTTCCAAATTACTGAATACACTCTGGGTTTTTTGCTGTGGACTTTGCTGTTTACTCGCTATTACCAGAGCATAATTTATCACAAAAGAATAGATCTAATAGAATAGAACTGAATCGGAAACGTTCAAATCGCCCCCCCCCCTCTCTCTCTCTCTCTCTCTCTCTCTCTCTCTCTCTCTCTCTCTCTCTCTCTCTCTCTCTCTCTCTCTCTCTCTCCCTCACACACACACACACACACACATACACACACACACGCGCGCACGCACACACACACACACACACACACACACACACACACACACACACACACACACACACATACACACACACCTCTGCACACACACACTCGCACGTGCTCTTCTATTAACCAACAAAATAAAAACAAAAACAAAAATGCTTAGAAGATAAAAATTAAGTTTCAACCACAGGAAACTCTTTCTGGTCGCTCGCAAACTGTTGTATGCTGCTTTTATCTAGGCTATAGTGTATGTCTTTGATAAGTCAAACAGGATTGAGAGTCTGTCAGCAGCCCTTGTTGTGCCTGCTGCTGCAGTCGTTAAAACGTTTTTCACTTTTTTTTTAGTAATCATTTTGTGGAAGAATGAATGAACAGATCCCTTTCCTAAGATGCTAAGCGAATTGAACAGAGCTTTGCAAGGCAAATCTCATAAAGCGATCCCCTCACCCTCAACAGTTTGAAAAATACAAAACGTTTTACAGTGAAAGCTCAGAAAAGCACACCCTTAAAAAAATCCACACAAACTGTATGAAGGAAACCAAATCAAAATACCCGCCCCCCCCCCCCCCCCCCCCCAAAAAGGCTCTCTCTCTCTCTCTCTCTCTCTCTCTCTCTCTCTCTCTCTCTCTCTCTCTCTCTCTCTCTCTCTCTGTCTCTCTCTTAAAAACGGCAACGGAAACATAAAAACTACTCCAATAAACATTCGTTCCAGCCTCCGTCTCCAGATCCCACAATCTACTTTCTTTGCTCTTCCTGCTCCCTCGTAAACAGGGAAAGAGTGCACCGTCGCAAACCTTTTCTGTGTCTAATAACCCGCTAACCTCGTTTTCCTACCGAAATGTAACATCTCTTTTCTCAGGGGCGTAGCGAAAGTGGCAGCAAAAATCGCTTAATAATACTGGCCACCCTTTAACTAGTGTTTATGCAGTGTTTGTTCAACGGTTGGTTTAAAAGTAAAGTTTCTCAGCAATGGTAAACTGTTGCGAAAGATTCCACAGACATTTTTTAAAATTTCTCAATTCATCCCATACTCAAATTTTCAAGTTGTTGCACAAACAGTGGAAAACCGACAGATTTCTGTACGATTGGAGTCCAATACCGTCAGCGAAGGAAAAACCGGCGAGTAAAAGACAGAAAATTGTTCGTGCTAATCTTGTTCTAAAACAGATCTGTACAACTTGTATCCAGCACTCAGTTTTGTCCATGTTAACATGACAGAGAAATCGTCTAAACATTTCTGCAGCCTCGTGAAGCATCATAGGAGGGCCCCCAGCCCGATGTTAAACCATTTTTTTTTTAAACGCGACATTTCTGGAAGGCTATTTTAGGAAAATCAAATAATATGCTCTGATCGCTACAATCTTTTAAGACACAGATGAATAGATGTTATAGTTTGTTTGCTTTCGTCTGTCTACGTTTAAACTTTTTTAGCTCATTTATTAATCACCTATGTATGACACTTCTGTCGGCCAGCGCTTAAAAATATGATAACATTTTTTAAATCTTGATTTACTACTAATGGAAAAAAATATTTACCTGAAAGATAAAATTTTAAAATATATTTCATTACGAGATGCTTTGGCTAAACGAAGCTGACCGTAAGTTTTGCCTCCGCCTAGCTCAAGGCGGTAAATCTACCGAGAGGCAACAATACGGCTGAATTGCAGTGCCTGAATAGTTTCTCGACTTATCCAAAGATTTTTAGCACACTGGACATGTCTGGGAGGAACAAGGAATAGGACATCCTTCAGTCACCAGCCCTTCCCCAGACAGACAGATTTAGCTGTAGCATCTGCGGAATCGCATCCTTCCGGCTAAAATAACAGCTCAAGGCGTGCAAGGAACGCGTGGAAATTATTCTCTCTAATATAATGTGAGGCGCAGTCTTGTACGTTCAGGACTTCGATCAAGAACACCTTATTAATATGCAATCAACGAATCCACGACAACAGCACTGTCTTCACTGAGCGAAACAGCATGGAAGAAAACTCAGAACCTCTCAGTCTTCCAAATCGACAACTCCTGACTTCATTCTGTCAATGTAAAAAAAAAAAAAAAAAACACAGTTTCTGAAAGTTCATCACATGAATGTCATAGACGGGCCAGTGTTCGTATCGGACACACACACACACACACACACACACACACACACACACACACACACACACACACACACACACACACACACACACACACACACACACACACACACACACACACACACACACACACACACGCACATTATTTCGAACAGAGAATTGGACAAAACGGTATAAAGGGGGCTCGTTTTGAAGACGTGGGCGACATCAAAAAGGCCGTGCAGACGGAATTGGGGAGGACCCTGGAAGAGTTCTTTCAGGAGTGCATGTAAGCGTTGCAGAGTAGGATGGGAAAATGCATTAGACTCCATGGTAATTGATTTTTTTTTAAAATATACCACTTGTTTTGTAAATATCTTCCTCCATGCTGCAGTGTTGCTTTTCATATTTGAACATAATATTTGGCAGCCAAAAGGCATTTGTCTGATAT